AAAAACACAACTTTGATACTTTTAGGGCTTTTGGGACACTCTGCACATTACAGAAATATTTTTAAAATGTGCACCCGATAGGCGTCTGTCGATTCATCAAATAACACTTTGCAAAAAACAAACGGGCTAACTGCAAACGTCCGTGCCGTATAGCGTGAATAACCCTGTATAAGTGAGTAAGACTTTGTCTCGGGAACTAAAGAAGTAATGGAAATTCCAATTTGGTCCCTCGCGGGAGGAAGTCTCGACTAAAATGCACCACCATGTACATTCTTTTGAATCAATTAATTTCCTTAGCTAAAAATGCAAAGCAGTTGCAATCAAAGACAAACAGCGCGTTTTATCAGCAGCTGATCTATTCATAGATTAGCAATCATTCCGCTAAACTAGTGCGAGGCACAGACCGAAATAAAATAATTAATAGCGAGTCTTTGGCTTCCTTGTAATTGAAAATGAAATTATTTGCTCAGATACTTTGCTGCTCGTCTGCCCAATTAATTATTTCGTATTACCAAATAAGCCTGTAATGGGAATAGAGAGCTGCGAAACCATTCATGACGTGGTTGTTCCATATTGCCGAACTCGAGCAATTACGGGCTCCGCTACTTTCCCTATGCAATAGCTGCCTAATTTTCAATCGTTGCGATTTTGCTGAAGAACCAGCACTGAAAGTGATTATTTCGCATTGAGCCCCATGTGGACCGGGCAGTACATTTTGTGAGCTTCCCTTATTTTTGGCAGGTATTTGTTAACCAGAATACCCAGAGGTGCACCCTATAGGGACCTGTGTAGAGCGATTTTGGACCAAATGCCCCACACAGGAACAGGTATTTACTATTCCCCGCCTTGCCACCTTTAATTACCTTGGGCTTCTGTGCTTAGATGGACCGGACTATCAACTAGGGGCCACCAGGGTGTTTCTGAGGGAGACTCTGGAGCGCCACCTGGAACAGCGACGAGGCGAGTCCCTTAAAGGGGCCGCGACGATCATCCAGAAAAACATCAAAAGCTACCTGGCCCGCACCAAATATCGCAGGCTAAAATCCAGCGCCGTCACCATCCAAAAGCACTGGAAAGGCTACCAGCAACGAAGAGACTATGAAAAAGTGAAGAAAGGTACTCTCGGATAAGTTCCTCCAGAAACTGTGCCTAAAGCAAGTGTCTGCAGGGATTGTCAAAGCGCAAGCTCTATACAGAGGTCGGAGGGAGCGCAAGCTATACGGCCGACGGAAAGCTGAGTTCAGACGCAGAGTGGAAGCTGAGAAGATTGCCCAAGAACGCGCCAAGCAGCGAGCAGCTAGGGAGGCTCAGCTGCAAGCGCAAGCCCAGAAAGCCAACGCTTCTGCCAAAGCGGCCGCCAAAAGCTCCGACAGCAAAGCTTCGGTTAATCACCTGGAAATTCCTGCAGAGTTGGCCTTCATTTTCTCCAAATTGGATGGTGAGTAGAACCACACGCCCTTTTTACACTAGTAATCAATCACACTTCCTCCAGGCCACACTCCGATCCATAGCGAGCGCAACCTGGTGAAAGTCATGGGCGGCGTGATCGGAAGCCCTCCTCCCTTGAACCTGCCGCACGACCTCAACCAGTTCGAATTCTCCAAGTTCTCCTCAGTCTACTTCAAGGACGCCGACCTCCACTACAAGAGAGACCCCATTACGACCCCTTTCCTCTCCAAGGCCGCTGCCCGCGACCAGGACTTCCAGGACGCCGTCGCTCTGTTCAAGCTGATCCTCAGATGGTCCAACGACTTGCAGTTAGCTGGTGAGTAACTGCGCTTGAGTTGCAAAACTGTCCCCAGCAAAACTGCTCTATGTTGGCGCAGGGCCCAGAGAACGCGCCCTAGCGGATTACATGGTTTACAAGGGGCTGAACTCCAGGGGATTAAGGGACGAGCTGCTGGTGCAGCTCTGCAACCAAACCTGGAAGAATGAGAATTCGGATCGGGTGTGGCAGCTTATGGGGCATTGCCTTAGCAGCTTCCAACCCAGCCCGCCCCTGAGCAAGTGAGCACTTAGGAGGGAGTTTCCCTGCGCAGGTCTGGAGTTTCGGGTGTCTGGTTTGCAGATATTTGCTGAAGTTTATCACCGACCACGCGCCGCCAGCCCTGCAGGACACTCTGCAAAGGAAAGTGATGCGCAGCCTGCAGAGGGCGCCGCATTCTCGCAATATGCCCCCCAGCTTGCTGGAATGGAAAAGTGTCAGGCAACGGGCCAATTGCGCCCTTCCTCTATCACTGCCCGATGGAACCGTGACGAGCGTTAGCTCAGATTCTTGGAGCACATGCGAAGAAGCAGCCTTCCTAGCGATGTCCTCTCAGGGAATCACTCCAGAGGGCTGGACAGTGGTTATGGATGACGCTGGCCTGGTCTACGACGGCAACGGGCTGGACTACGTGTTTGATTTTGTATCGGAGCTGGAACTGTGCCCAGCCTTCCCCATTCAAAAGTCCACCCTGCTGAAGACTGGAAGCCGCAGGAGTTTCGCTGTTGAGGTGGACCACCATGTGCCGGCGCCAGTCAGACCCCAAGTGCCCCCTCCAGAGCCGCCCATTAACATCACGCGGAAAGTCTCCCGGGAGGTGATCCGACCTTCTCCTCCCGCCCCCGTTATGCACCCCTCCCGTCAGAGCTCCAGAAAATCTTCTAGGGAACTGCAAAGCGAGTCCCGCTACAGCCCACAAACCAGCAGTCGAGTCTCGCCAGTGGTCCACCCCACGTCCTCTCCCATCCGCAAGGCCTCACATGAGGCCCTATCCAGATCTTCCGCTCTAAATGACCGGTAAGGCTGTGGGGGTTGCACATTTCAAATTGCCAGAACTGATGCCGTTTAGATACTTTGACCAAGAGAAATCGCGCTCCAGAAGCCTGGACAACCTGCTGGGCGAAGCCGAGCCCAACCCACTGCTGGAGTTGGGCCTGTCGCAGACCTCCAAGCTGAACGAGCGCTACCATTCTGTAGAACAGCTTGCGCCGATCAAGCCCGTGGTGATGAACCATCCAAACTACATGTCCAAGCAGGAGCTGGACTTTGAATATCCAGACATCGGCAGCATTGGCACTTCCCATAGAGGAGGCCCCCGATACATCAAGTCGCAGTATGCAGGTAGGGACTTATCAGTTGCAAGTGAGTCCTGATGAGTCAAAAACAGTGGGGAGCTCCATTGCACAACAGGTCTTGGTTGTTTCAGGCAAAAAGGCGCCTCCAGGCAGCCACTCCAGTCGGGCCTACATCGAAAAGTCCGAGTTCGGAGTGCGCAGCTCTGCAATGTCCGATACGAGTGAGGCTCCCAGTCTGGCCTCTCACGTGAGAAGAGTGCGGGTTCCTTCACAGGCCAGCGATGTGGATCAGTTTCTGGACGAGCTGTTCAGTCCGGTGCTGGACGGCAATCTGGATGAACTGTCCGATGCCCGGTCGCTGGCCGCCAGCATCAAAGGTTAAACCGTTAACCGCCAAACGCTTGTTCCTAGTTTCGGGTTTTAGGTGGCGGCGACTGGAGCGACTCCCTTGAAGCTGCAAGCGCGCCTCCAGCTGCAGAAGCCCATGACTACATTGAGGGCCTTGACGAGTTCTTAGACGCTGCGCTCGGCCATCCAGCGTTTGGAGAGTTCAGCGCTCTATCCACTACCTCAGAAGTGGTTCTGAGAATCAAGGGCGGAGGCCTCAGGGACCGGACAAACAGTCAAGTCAGAGAAGTAAGACATCGAGATGAAGGTGGGGCCCTAGAAAACTCCGTCGGCTTCCAGGGCAATTCCGTTCTGGACCAGGAAGTGGAAAACATCACAACCCCATCAACGTCCGCCAGCAACACCAACGTCGATGACTACATCAGCGACCTGTTTCGGCCCATCTTCATCAACGACAGTATCAAAACCTTAACGGAAAAAGAACACTTGGTTGGGTCGATCAAAGGGGGCGGATCCACGCCTGGTGGCGCGTCATCTTCCAGCTTCAACTACCCGAGCATTCCGGCCGCCATGGTCAGCCCTGCCCCTTTAATGATGCCCCTACTGAGCCCCACTCAGGACGGGTTCGTTCCGGTCTTCAACGTGCCTCAGGGCCTGAACGGCGTGCCCCAGAACGGCACCGATCTGGCCTCGTATCAGCAGAACCTGCAGCGCGCCTTCCTGCAGAGCGCCATGGCTCAGAACATTCAGATTCAGCAGCAGTTGCTCGCTCAGAACCAGGCCCTGCAGCAATTGCTCACTCAGAACGTCACTACCGGCGATGTGAACGTCAAGGTTTGCATACTCTAAAAACCTCCGCAATTCCCACAAAAATTCGCCTTTTAGGTAACTGAAACGATTCAAACCACTGTAAAGGCTCAAGTGCATCAGCCTTCACAACACGTGAGAAAATCCAGCTTCAACAGCAGTGCGGTGTTGAGGAAATCCAGCTCGCCCAGCGTTGGATCATCAGGTAAGTTTGGCAACTTCCCTAGACCCAGTGGGTAAAAGCCAAGTTTCCAGACTACAAATCGCGCAAAACCAGCTCAGACTCCAACCAAAGCCTGCAGAGCCGTGGTATCCCCGCGCCGCCCCCCATGCCGCCCCCCATCGACGAATGTGACCCCAATGAGACGCGGCCATTCATGGATCCTTATGGAAGGGCCAAAACAGTTCGCATCGGTAACTTGCGCCCTTCACAGGCAACAAGCAGGAGGTTAGTTGATGGTTGTGTTGCAGGCAAATGGAGATGGCCGCCTCCTAAAGGAGACACCAGCATCGAAAACGGGGAGGACTTCATGCACTTTAAGATGCGCCAGAAGGAGCGCAAGGTTACTCCGAACAAAGAGCAGACAATTTCGGTCACCAATGGGCACGGGTCTGTACGAACCGAGTCCTCAATGGAATGGGACGAGGTCGACTATGAGCCGTTGAAGGAGAATGAAAAGCTAACGAGGACCAATTCGAAGAAGGCGTTTGAAATCGGCGCCTCCAGGCCATCTCCAGGAAGCATCGGGAAAATCAAGCTCAGCTCGGAGATGAAGCAACGGCTGGAAAGGGTGACTGCCAACCATTCAGTGCGGTCGACTAGCAGCAGCACCAAAGTGGACAAACCTTCCCGATCTGTCAGCAAGCTGGAGGAAACCAGGAAGTTGATGTTGGAGCAGCAACTTTCCGGCCGCTGGGGCGAAGACTCTGCCAGCGAAAAATCCACTCCAGACTCCCACCAGCAGGTGATTGACTTGAGGCGACATGGCGAGCCTGGGAGGTAAACGGGTGGTTTCATTGCAGAACTCTTGCGATGGCAGCAAATCGCCCACCCAGCAGAGTTGGACCAGCAGCAGCTGGAAGCCAGGCCCGCCTCCTCCGCCTATTGGCCCCAGCTCCTTGCCCCCTGCCCCTTTAGTCCCGGCGCCGCCCCCGCCAGTGGTGCGACCCAGCCAACCTCCACCCCCAGTGGAGCCGGTGAGGAGCAGCTTCAAAAGTCACAGGTATTCCAGGAAAGTATTCAAGGCACCCCAGGTCTGACCTAGTGGGTTTAGGGACTTCCTGTCCCAGAGGCAGGAGCGGGACGGGCCGCCATCGTCCTTCATGGCTCAGCGGCAGGATCGGGACACTTTCGGGGTGCATCAGAACAGGGTGCAACAGCAGAACTCGAAGAGGAATTCGTTTAGTGCCAACTGGGAGGAGCAGAGCAACATGACGGAGACGCATAACGATTCGACTAGTTGGGCCCAAGAAGGTGCATAGTTGTAGATAAGTTCTAGATTGTTGAGGCGGATTCATTTTTCTACAAACTTCTTTTTGGGTATAAATAGTGCTACTATTTATCAATCTGTAATAAAAGACGTGAGGAAATTCTGTCTTTTTTAAAGACAAACATTTTTGAGGCGAAATACCCAAAAAGAAGTTTGTAAAAACAGGTGCATAGTTGTAAAATAAACTGGAAAACTTGTGGTTTGACTTTCGCCTTGCAGATAGCGATAGGCACGACGGCAGGACCTCTAGGGACAGTTGGGAGTTGGCAGAGTCCACCACCATCACATCCACTGAGCCCAGAGACGTCGGACGAATGTAAGTTAGAAAATTACGAAGTATTTAGGTAAATTGCCAAACCCAGAACTGTTTTTTTCTTAAACCCATATTTCCAGCTGAACCGAAACCGTGTCAATGCCCAATTAGCCCATGTCGCAAGATCGGTTATTTATTATGCATAATTTAATTGCACACCGACTGCACTCGATTTTATGTTTCATTCTTCGAATGTATCGAATAGAGATAGATTGCTGCTGCAGGGCCATCCTTGAAACAATATTTCTTGCCCGCTGCAACAGTAGCATAAGAGCTTGGTCAATTTACGGTTTAATACGGGCCAATATGGGCTGTTGTGTCCAATCAAAATATTCGGCTGATCGGCAGCCAAAGGCGATTTATCGGCTGCAGCAAGTGCAGGGCTAAAGTGCTGGTGATTTGCTGGATTCATGTTTTCCAAAGTTTCTACTTGCAAAGTTCACAGGGACGTTTTCCAGGTGGGATCGGGAAGAACGGAAATTTGAAAAGTCCCGCGGTCCAATGAAGGAGTCCGGCGAACGGCCCACTTTCAGAACACACCAACTGAATAAGAGCGCACTGGAGAGGGAGAAAAAGCACTCGGTTGCATCCACCTCCATGACCGATAAAACAGACCGACAAGAAGAAGGTACAGTACATTTTGAAGAATTGTTGAAAAAAGCCCTTTAGCTAGCCCAAGCTCTAGCTGGCGAAAGCCCATATATTCTCGCAAAGCTTTTCACATTTTACATACCCAACTAAATCCTCATCCTTCTGTAAATGAAAATTGGCACTCATCTATTAACCGAGAATCTCAAAATTGAGGCAAAACACCCACAAAAAATTGATCAACCAGCTCATTAGCTTTTTTTTATTTTTCCGCTAGTGCAAGAATGGCCCGAGTTCATGCGACCAATCAAGACGCCCCCGCCTTCAAAATCCCCGGTTCAAAGCCATGCTCCGACCAATGAAATCGAAGAACCACGAATCCCGACCACAGCCAATCGGGTGCAACCGCTAGGAACCTCCGCTTACGTCACCTACAACAGGGTGTCTTGGTTGCTGCGGGTCCGGAAAGAGTACTTCACACCCTCCGAGCCTCTGGGTGAGCAACTAATTGGAACAATTCATAATCAAAAATCGAAAAAAAAATTCATAATCGAAACGAGGCGAAATCCCGTAGTTTACTTTGGCGTTAGCCCCCGTATCCCCAGCAAAATGACGAAGACAGCCTGATTTCTCTCACTCTTACGCACAGCGATGAGGCCATGCCCGCACACCGGGCTTCATTGAATTTGCTACGAGGTGGGATCAAAAAGTGTTATTTTGTTCCAGGCCCTCTCAACGCCCTTCACTTGATCTTCTGCCAAATAGTCGCTGATGTCTACGGACTGACCCCATGCATCCGACTAACTCCCAGCGAAAAGCGGGCTGGAGTCAACATGCTGTCCGGTTATGGAGTGACAGCGGAAAACTTCAACAGCTCCCACAGGGCCAATATTAAGCGAAACGCCATCGAGTTGGCCAGGACTTGGCCCCTGTATTTTGCGCGACTGTTTCCCGTATCAGGAGCAGCACAAGTGAGTTCTCCGAACCGAGTTTCTCTCGGTTCTACAGGATCCGATTGGCAGCTTTCAGACGTCGAGCTGGTGGCAGTTTCTCATTGGGGCGTCCATCTGGTGCAGCGAGAGCAGAGCCATCTGCAAGTGCTAAAGTCGTTCTCGTTGAGTGAAATTTCCTCGTGTACTGCGCCGCGTCCCACCACAGTGAGTCTGGATGGGCCGCAAGGAAGACTCAGCCTTCACACGCCGAGAGCTCAGCAGCTTTCCGAGATGGTCACCAAGTTCTGTTCTGAGGCTCGAAAGGTAAGTGCAACTGCTTCAGTTTCAATGTGAATAGATTGCAAACGGTTGACTGCACTGAAAGCCCATGCAAAAGAAAATTTTTAACGATCACTTCCAAAGGCTCAATTAGGAATTCTTCCGTGGGTTTTTCGCACTGATATTCACGGTAATGCCATTAACGCCCATTAGGAGCTGGAAATGTATACCATTAGCACGCCATATTCCATCGATTAATAGAAATAAATAGCGGAGAGAATCAGAGTGGAAAATATGTTATATTAGTTACGCCCATGCCCCATGCCTTCCTTTTTATTGTTATTCGATTCACCACACTGGCTGGTTCTGCTACTTAAGGCATGCCTGCAAGTAGCTAATTTGATTATCTTGATAACGGCTGAAATATGTTAAAAGATTGAAATGTTTAAACTAATAACGAAGAGGAACTGCATGAAGGCATTTTTGTAACTGAATCTCAGGCTTTGAGGATGGTTGGATTGGGACCAGGAATATTTTCAAACCGCGCTACTTTTCACTGATTGATGGTCGCAAATTTCTCCGCTTTTCTGCTTCTCGCCGATCGAACGCATTTGGCTGTAAAGGAGAAATATCCATTTAGATGCACTTTCTCACCAGAGCGTAAACGATATGCGCATTTACTGTTCGCAAAATGAAATTAAGTTCACGGCTAATTACTCGATTTGAAATTCTTTGAAGAAAACATTTTCAGCAGCTTAAATAGCAAACTGTACTTTTGCACGGTTTGAGTGCGGAAAGTCCATTCTGTACAATGTTAAACGAACTCGCCAGTTGCCCTGCTTGGCCAACTTTTTTTGGATTAGCAACCACTGTAATGTCCATTTGACAAGTATTTTTTACATTCTCTGGCGATCTTCTCAGTGAATTATGTGACAACCCACATCAAATTATTAGGTATTGATGATCCTCAATAGCGCCTGTATGTAGTTATTTTGCACAATTTAGTATAATTTGGGTTTGAAAGGGTCCAGGGGATGGCTTGTCACCACCCTGACAATACAGTGGCTTGTAACGCCAAAATCCCTGGTCAACCAAAAACGGCTACTTATAAAACTTCCTAGACCACCATACTTGGCATAAATTGACCAAACTTGGCCAGTCGGTATATGAAAGAAAGTCTAGCTGTACAGTTGATACAGTTCTGGTGCTTCAACTGATTCCCGTTCGTAGCCACACAAAACAGCAGTAATAGCTTCACATCAACCACAAGGCCTTGTCTCTGATTAGATGGTCAAGATGCCTTGATAGACGGAATCCTGCGTAAGATGAAGACTTTCATGAGAAGATTGTGCAGAAAGCACCTGTTACGTGTCGCTGCTGCGGTACGGAATGTCCTAGATAACAAGCGTCCATCGCAAGAGCCTACTATATTATGCTGATTTCTTCAGACCGGAAAAAATTGCTTCCGTCTCGAAACATTTGATAAGCTATTTGATTTTTTTTGTAAAAGTGACCATTCGTCTCAACCATGTGGAAATTATCCATCCTCGATCTCTGAAATTTGCATGCAAAAAGGGGAGAAGAGGCAGCAAGAACCCGAGCGAACAAATTTTGTGAAAAACATAGTTTTCCGGCCTGAACGTCTACATACGAGCGATGGTCATCCAATGGGTCAGCGAAGCAGCTACTAGAGCTCATCTAGGGGTACCAGCAAGCGATGCGCAAATGTTAGATGGTGCACTCGAACCACTTTGGTGCGAAGCTCCGGCTCCGGTTCGCATTGGTACTCCGTTAGTTGCGTCGCGTTTGGTCCGGCCAAGGCTAACATGGTTTTTCAAATATTCTAATCGAACACACGAAGGAAAAAATGAACAAAACCAGTTGGAAGAACTACGCAAAGAGCGGCGGACTGGCTTTGTGCGACACCTTCAAGGCGAACTCTTTGGATAGCTTGGCAAACTCGTCGCATCACTCGGAAAGTGTGAGTGAGGAGAGTCAGGACTCTGACTCGGGAGTGGACGGGAAAGTCAGTAACACGTTCCAAGTGAAATGTGAGGTTTACGCGCAGGATGCCTGTGGTAGTACTAGGTGAGGTTTACCGGCGTTCTTGATCGGAAATTTTGTACTTGGATCAGTGAGGGAATCAATTTTTGTTTTGGTCCTTCGAGCGGGATCTTTGCTCGTGTGATCAGTCCTTACATAACTCCAATTTCAGGCAAGAATCTTGATTAATGTATTCGCAAATCGTCGCAAAATATACGCGCAAAGAAGCGGCAATTGTTGGCAAACCATCGTCGCATGCAAAGTCGATTTTCCTTTGGGAGTTTGGTGGGCATTAGGCGACCGCAAAGTCAATTGCATCATTTAATCATTCGGATGATTGTAGATTTAATTGTAATTCACCGAACGCTCACTTTCTCTCGCATAAAATCGGCTGGAACCAAATGATACAGAGAAAATGTTAGAGATGTTCAGCTCACAACGATGCCGCTAAAACCAATCCGAAGTTGTGGAGATTTTCGAGAATTTTGCCTTGGTTTTATCGGTTTAAAAGTTTGATTTTCACTTTTTGCTGGGAATGTTTCTGGCATTGCTTTTCAAAGTGGGCCCCGGAGAATTAAAGGTCGTTAAAATTCATATTTTCCCAGCCCAAAGCAATTTCTTCAACTCAAGCGGCTTCAGGCATAAGAATCCATATTAATTAATCGAGCGCAATAACCTCCGCTTGGGTTAGTTTGGGTTGCTAAACCTCCATAATCTCACGGTGATAATCTCGGTGCATTTCGTTATTTATGACAAAATTAGTTTCATGGACAGCTAATTTGATTTAACACAATAACCGACGGAAAAGTTGCCTTTCTGGGTTTCAATCGCAGTCATTCGTCAACGTTTCTCCAAAGAGACGCATTTTCGTGAATGTTAATTGGTTGGAACGTGCTTTTTTGCTGGCAGTTGTCTAGTGTGTGTGTGTGTTTTTTTTAATGGCAATTTTTCAGCAGTTTTCACTCAATGAGCTCGGACTTTCAAACGTTTTCACCCAAAATCGGTTCGGAAAACTTTCCCGATTGAACGAACTTCCGAGCTGGAAATCCAGCGAGTTAAATGTTTTTCCGGCGGTAAATTATGGCAAAATCCTCGACTAAACTAAGGCAAATCATGTGCCGATTGAACCCTTGCTGATCATGGTACTAAATTTCCAACACTTCCTTCGACTACTGGATGCATCATTTCTATGTCCGGGCAGGTCGTGGACGAAATCCGAATCGAGCAACTCAGAAACATCATACGAATACGTAGCTTCTGAGTTTCTGGGCAGTGAGAGCCGCTATGAGAGCAAACCGTGCACCAGTCCCGATAAGCGAAGCGAGCAAAATGTTCGCATGGAAACCATCCCCGAAGAATACGAGCCCAAAGTGTCTGTCAAAGAGATCCTGGCTCGGTTCGAGAATTTGAGGGACGCGAAGCAGCAGCTGGGCGAGGCGAAGAAGGACCGGAACAACAACGGATTGGTGGCGGAGAACAGGAACTTGAAAAAAGCGAAGAATGCCGACGTGGTGATTGTGAAGGAGCACAAGAAAAGCGCCTCCAAAGAGGGCAAACCGCTGAAGGAGAAGAAGCAGGAGGCCAAAGTTTATGCCTCCAGTACCAGCGTTTTGGATCTAGTCAGCCAGGTTTCAGAGCAATGTGAAACAGTCGAAAAGGACAGTGATAAGATAGGGTGTTTCGGCATTGGCTCCTCCTCCAGTTCGACTAGTGCTTCGAGTAGCTGCAGTGCGTCTTCCGGCGGCCAGTTTTCTGGCGATTCCGGCACCGGATCCGCCGAAAAAGAGGTAAATTTCACAAAAATCTAAAATCAACTGATGCCACGAACTAAGAACAAAAACCAGTGGGTTTTCAGGCCGTCGGAAAATGGAATTTCTTCCTGACGTTTCGCAAGCACGAGTGGCTTGCATCTTCAGAGGTCGTTTGCTTGAACGCTTACACTGTTCTGATTGCATCAGATCAGTGTAAGCGTTCAAGCAAACCACCTCTGAAGATGCAAGCCACTCGTGCTTGCGAAACGTCAGGAAGAAATTCCATTTTACCCGAAAAAAACCACTAGTTTTAAGAACGAAAACTTTGAAATTTGAATAAGATGCTAGTCGAGGTTGTAAATCAGTTACCCGATCTGGTACGCAACGGTTAAATTCGGGTTTTTTAGCCTTTCACCGATTGAGAAATGAGTACATTTGATGTTTCTCTGATGAATATATAAAAGTTTATAGAAGCACTGGAAGGAAGCAAGATATTGCGTTCTTTAAACCATTCAAACACCTAAAAGCCGCTGTTGAATTGTCCAAAACATGCAAAGGTGCGGTTCAAAATCCCCTATAGAAAGTGGTTTTGTTGTCAATCGCATTTCCAGCAGAAGCCCCATTATTTACTTTCGTTTTTTGCGTAAACTCGTATTTCCAGTCGAAAGAAAATTGGTGTTTTAATGGGAATTTATGTGGCAAAATTCACGTTTGAATCGCACTTTACTTGTATTGGTCTTGTTTTATAGAAAAGAAAGTGTTCTGGGATGATGGCAGTGCATAAACAAGCGCCTTAATTGGTCAAGTTGACCGATTTTGCTCATTTTCCGGTTGTTTTCAGGCTTTTATGGGATTTTTTATACCCGTATATGCAGGATTTAATGAATGAAAGTTGAAACAGTCGAGTAGTTGAAAGCTCTTCTGTTCTTGAAAATTCATGACTTTTCAACAGCTTCGTTTAGCTCAACGGAAATTAAAAGTTACACGCTATAAACTTGATTCGATCATGATCATAACATTTTATGTTCACTTTTTATGGCCTCAAGAAGTCCAGCTATCCGTAGTGATAACGCATGATGATGGCGTTAGCACAGTGTTTTGCCTCCGACCAATCAGTGTGAAGAAAATCGCCTCTCGTGCCCCTAATTGGTGTAACTGAACCAGCATTTTAATGTCCTTGCAATTAAGAGCGTGTTTTGGTGCATGTTAACTAGACTAGAAAACCCCAAGTGGGTTCTTTTCGTCTTCGTATCGCTAATCAGTTTAATTGTTGTGATACTTTGACGACGAGCACCGTTTCGGTGTTTCCGGGAAAACGGGCCCAAAAATTCGCGAAAAAATGAAAATTGTATTTGTTCGCCTCTTTCTCCAATAAACCAATACAAGTGCTCCTAAGGTGAACGAGCAACTTTGCGAATTTAATTAAGCGTTAAATTGGAACTTAATCGTGCGATAACCCAGTTATTTTAATTTGATGCTCAATTATCCCGCAAATGCTGCAAATAAACGTACTGAATTTGCCAATGGGCATCGCTAAACTAACAGGATTGCAGAGAAATTTCGTGATGATGATGAAACTGTAGCGTAACAAACGGTTAAGCAAACTGCAGACGTTCCGTGAAAATCTGTTGGATCAATAGGATTTTTTTGTTTATTGTTCAGTTCTGTCTGGGACTTTTGGTTCAAAAATGCTCAAAAGAGCAGAAACAACCAGAAACAAGGGAAACACAGCTAGATGATGATGCACATTATCAATCAACCATAATTTCCTGCAATAATAACTATAAATAAAGATGCGACTGACTATGACGGCCTTCGGATGATCGGTATGACCATTGTAATAAATCAGTTCCCATCACATCGGTTCCGGAACCATACATTTCTATCTAACGAACTTCCGTTTGGTGCTCTCAAATGCGAAACACGTCTATTGTTGTCCAATTTAACACTTGGGACAACTAGAATTCCGGCCCGTCTGTCTCATTTGCATTCGCAATATGACCATTCATTAATTAGCGATCATATAAAGCCTATTAAGCGATTTAATTGGGCAGACTTGTCATCATAATCATAACGGTTTGGTGCTATCGAGTCCAATACAACTTGATTGAATTGTGCGATCTTGACCCATTTTTCTTCGGGGCTTAACACACTTATTCGTCAGTAACAGTGGTGGGAGAACGGTTCTACTCGTTACTCAGCCAGAGCCAAAAGTGCAACTCGCAGCAAAAAAAGACGCGTTACTTTGAAGGAAATTAAGATTTAAAAATTGATGAACCCTATCCAGAAACTTTCTGGTCGCTCCTCGTCGAATAAATACGACACTCAACAATATCATAAATACAAGTCAAAAATACAGGCCTAAAAGTCTGTGTGTTTGCGGAAAAATTGCCAAACTTACCGAAGCCGCTCAGTGCCACCTGGAAAGAATCCACAGCGAATTTATTTGAAAATATCAAAGAAAAGAAAGGCAAATGCAAGCAATCCTTAGCTAAACTCAGTTCAAGTTAAGGGATTTATCGATTAGAGACCATCCTTACCAGCGTTCTGCACGCTGGCGCCCCATCCTCCATTTTCCACCCATTAATCTTCTAAAAAAATGCTGCTCAATAGGTTGAAAACAGCTTAAAATGATCCGTTCGGTCTGAAAATATTTTCAAATTGTCCCCACCAAACTTAATCAATTCCAACGAGTCATGACGAGGGTTCAAAAGTGTCCGAATCTCACCCAACGAGTCAACAGTAACAGTTGGACTACATTTAGGAATGTTTTCCGGGCTTTGAAGCCGTGGTCTATCGGAATTTATTGCTGACGTTTCGTCCACAACTGCGGTGGACATTTTCAAAGGCGATGAGGCAGTGGGCGAAGTGATCTCCCGTGCTTTCCGACTAAGACTGAGTCGG